AGTAGTAGTATTCTACTACTAAAGTACTAGTATTCTTGTCTAGTTCATTTATGTATATTTATAATTAATTGTAAAAAATTGTTCATAATAATTTTGCGTGGTAATCTGATCGAAGAGCTTACTGTTTAGAAATGTGTGGTGATTAGTGACCGTTAATCGATAATTATTCAGAGATGAACAAATTGAGATGCGGTCTGGTCTGATGTAGGTTTCAGAAAAACAACCTGTGTTTGTGTAATTGTGCCATTCTTACACAAAAGACAAACACTTTGAGTGAGTAGAAATACTTTGATTGAATATAAAAAATATATTTTGCATTGTATAAATTCACTTTTCCACATCCTAAATGTATTTGTTAAATGTAAACAATGTTTGTAAATCCCAGGCCCTGAAGATGATCTCAATAAAGATCGAAACGTTGGCACGATAAAGAAAATGTTTTTCTGAAACCTACATCACACCAGACCGCATCTCACGATTTCTGAATAATTACTGTTTAGAGAAGGATAAACCAATAACAAGGGACAAAAATAATTATTTTTAAAATTCTTTTATTTATTGTTTTACAACAAATTATGTATTTGAAAGAAATAAAAGAAGAAAGATTTACGGTAATTCGTAAATAAATAGGAGCTTAGAAGATTGTGCTTCTTGTAGGGAGGATTCGAAGTATTTCGGGTAGTATCCAGGAGCTGCTTTTGGGGAAAGTTTTTGGTAATACACTGGACCTCTTAAGAATTACAAACTTTTGGCGGAAATAGAAGAATTGTGGCTGGACTAGTTATTTTTCGATGGTTTTTGAATATTCATTCTAGTTGTTATGTCAGGATGAGGGCGGAATATTTTGGAATGGTTTTGAAGGAAGAGTGAAATTTTTTCGTAAATCTTGGCTCTGTTCTGACGCCATTTTTAATAATGGGCGTTTGATTTTATTTTTTATAGTTTTATGAGGAAATATCCAATTTATTTGTTTTTGGAGTCTGTATTAGCTTTCCTAGATTTTCCAGGTACATGTGCTTCCAATGTTGGATTTAACTTGCATGTGAGTTAATGCAGCTTTTGCGGATCCAAAATTCCATATATTACGTTGATAGGATAGTTAATAATAATATTAAATTTTTATAGCCTGTAATGATTTTTCTTCAAAGTAAGTCACTTTTAAATTCAGGATCTCGCTTCTAACAACAAGGTATTTCAATGTTTGAAAAACCTGTACGTACATATAAATTTATAAATTAGAACCGATGCAATCATTACTGAATCCATTTGGTTCAACTGGTATGGTTTATTTGTTGTCATCTGGTATTGTTAGATGTCTTTGTTCCGCACACGCCATTATGTTTATCTGGAAGACCCTCTACCCTATTTTCTCTTTCAGCCTTATTTATGGTGTTCAGTTAGCATTGGCCCATTCGGCCTGGGTTATTTTTTCCAAAAGGGGTGATTACATTATTGGAAAAATCTTAGATTATATTAATAAAAGAAGAAGATGCCAAAACTACGAAACCATGTTTAATGTTAAGTAGGCCATAGTGACATAAAGTGTAATAACATGATTAATTTTAATATAGTTGTTACTAGAAATTTTTACAGCAGATAAGCAAAAACGAAAAGAAATAAACTTTAGAATAATCATCGTAAAGAAAAACCAGATATGACATAAATTGCCAGAGACTGAACTTACTGAAATAAACAGATAGATAAATATTGAGTTGATACAAAAAAATTACAAATTGTTCAACTGTACGAGGCCATCATACATTACATCATACCGGTAAAACTAGATTTCATAATGGTTATAAACACTGTTTTTTTTCATCATTGATGATCATTGCCTTATTTGTTTCCAAACATCCGCCTTGCTTCTGTCTCTGCCATCATGCTTCCTACTTCTTTCTCCCGGCGATCGTGGGAACGGAGAAACACAAGGTGAGTAGATTACACACCTTGAAATCATCGTGAGAAGACAGACACATAGATGGTCAATGAAAAACTAAAAAACACGAAAAAAAGTTTTTCGTTTTTCTACATAAAGAGTCAATTATCTTTGTCTTTATCAATATTACTGTTCTGACATTATTTTTATCCATTCAGTTGACTGTATGAAATTTAATCAAATTGTAATTTTTTTAGTTTTATATATTTTAATTTACTTACTAAATACTATTACTTCAAATTACTTCATATCAGTTCATTTTTCTCGTTTTTAAAAAAGTTGCGTGGGACCGAATTTTTTCTAAGTAAATTATACTAATTTATTAAATATCTAATCTTCTCTACACGGTTATTGTTAAATATAAGTTTTATTCTACATGGGTTTCTACTGAAAGAAAGAATAATATTTTGATGGGAAGTTGTGGACAATATTTCAAGCGTTGGCATAATTGTAGGCTATTCAGACCAAACAGTTCAATTTTAGGTTGTAAAAAAATTATATACGTTTTTTCAAACCACTGTGTTCGATCGTAGTACTTGAAGATATTTATCAAAATATATATAGCCGTTTGTAGCCCCTTTCCGTCTTCGTGCTGCTAATATGATCCCGGTCTGGCATCACGAAGGGTCTTTACAGGCATCTTGAGGCAACTGGCTACTTCTTCTTTTATCTTGATTAGGTGCAAAGTTCATACGATGGTGCGAGGTCGGTCTATTTCGTATCACAGAAATGGAATGAATTATGCTTATCTTACAGAACATTATTTTTGTTTATCAAAGATTGGCTTCTGTTGACAAAAATACCATGCTGAGCTGCATATAATTACGAATCCGGATCATTGATAAGGATTTTTTGTAAAATTAGGGATATCGGGGATAAAGCCTTGGCGAATCCAGTCATAAAATATCTATTTTTATTGCTATGGAAATTTTTATCAAAGGACTGTAAATAGTGCTAAAAACAAATCTGAATCGATCAATATTTTATATAAATAATCTTTTTAGTGAAATCCTGCATATTATTTTCTGGTTATACGTAAAAAAAGATATATTATATAACATATAATATCCATAGTTATATAGTTAGTTTATTTTATAGTTATTATAGTATATATTATATAAATAATAGCCTCGAATTACGTGCATACCAAGACAGAGACCACAAAGAATATAAACTAACTATAAATGAGTAAATCCGTTATATTTAGTGATCTGATTGACCCAATTACTTCTTTCAATCAATTAATCTTTTTATGCAAGGTTTTGGTTGAAACGAAAAAGCTAGTGTCACGAGCGGGATTCGAACCCAGGACCTTCGGCTCAATAAGCCGCTGCTCTAACCGCTTGAGCTTTCGTGACTTCGATCCACTCGGACACCAACTTCTCATCTCAACCTACAAGTATCGAATTTTTCTTTCTTGCCATTTTTCTCCCAATAAGTATTTTGGCCAATCAGGACACTAAGTATAATGGATTTAATAAGAAAACAAAGTATGTCTTCACCAACAGCTCTCCGAGGCCTCTTCGTATGTCGCCGAGAATACTGATTACACGACATTTGAAAAATGGCAAAAAGGAAGGAAAATTCAAAAGGTTGTCGGTTTAGATGGGGAGTTGGTGTCCGAGTGGATCGAAGTCATGCTAGCTCAAGTGGTTAGATCAGCGGCGTATTGGGCCGAAGGTCATGGGTTCCAATCCCGCTCGTTACGCTGACTTTTTTTAAATTTCAACCAATACCTTAGCCTAATCGATTTAATAAGCAAAATGAAGGATACTTCACTAAAGCTCTCTGTGGCCATTTCATTTGTCGCCGAGAATCCTGATTACACGACATTTGAAAAATGGCAAAAAGGAGGGAAAATTCGAAAGGTTGTCGGTTGTGATGGGGAGTTGGTGTCCGAGTGAATCGAAGTCACGATAGCTCAAGTGGTTAAAGCAGCGGCGTATTGAGCCGAAGATCGTGGGTTCGAATCCCGCTCGTGACATTAGCGTTTTCATTTCAACAAAACCTTACATAAAAGGTTATAAATTAGATTAAAAAATTTCTCGGCAGAAAGCTCGGACACATTTCCCATATTTTTCGACCTAGAATTTATGAAAAAAGTTTCATTAAAATCATTGATCTCTTATATGAACCAATTCCGTGTCAGTATTTGTAAGAAGAAAGGTAGTCCCTCTCATCACCCTGGTCTAGCTATTATCTTTCAAAACGGATTTTTATATAAACAGTTGTACCTAATAGATTGCCGCTTCAGAGTAATGTGGCAATGGGTTCTTGCAGAAGCAACAGGGCCAAGGCGTCCTACAAGGGAGCAGTCTTGATCCGATCCTGACCTGCCAATCCTTTCCAACACCACCCCCGTATAACATAAGCATTTAATCTTCGCACCCAATCTCATACTATTCACCGCGAAGATTGAAGAACATCTCGAACTCATCGCAGAATGGTGCAAATAATGTAAGTTGAAATTCAACGAGGGCAAATGCAACCAGATCAATTTTCCATTAAAACAACTCCTGGATTGTTGTCCTAGATTATACGCCAAGGAATACCGACATTCACACCAATGAAATAGTTCGGATTGTACTTAGAGAACAGATTAAAGACACAGTAGATTAAATCGACAAGAATTGAACAGAATACTTGGACAACTTGGACCAAAGTTAGGCATGACTAACACTACCCAAAACAATAAATCGACCTTTTTGGACATACAGACAGAATCCATCGAAGCATTCCAATCAAAATTCACCAGAAGAATTCTTTACTAGTCTCTAACTTCACCATCTGCAATGACCTCAACATTATCTCCGTTCAAGACCTGATCCGTTCCCGTTTACTGAAGTTCTGGTTTAACCTTTTGTTTCACCCTAACTGTTCTTTTTTCTGCTTTTCTACTATCTTTCATTCCTAAAATACACACACACAGGGAGAGGGAGAGAGATCAATGCTGAATGTAGTGCGACTGATGTGACCGAGAAAATCACTATATCAAATCTATCTCCCATACAATCATTTATATCCTATGTTCATAACTAATGATGTAACTTATTTTTTGTTCTAGGTAAGTAAGCTGATAAACCGTTTGAAAGTGCATAGATCGTAAGTTATTTATTTCTCGTAGTGCGATAATTTACCGTAATATAGTGTATATTGTTTTCTGCATATGAGAACAATTGCTTTTATGAACATATCCTAAAAGAAAATTGTTCAAGAACGTACGAATGTTTTATAATTGACTTCTTATCCTTAAACCGATCGCAAAAAAACCATCATAGCCGCTATTAATGACGGAGAGCGAAAAACAAAATAGACAAAAGTCCCTTACTGACAATTGCAGGATATCTTTTTGGAATTATTCGCTTCGACTGCCATTGAGATAAGTGATGCTGGGAGTTGGAGATCCATTGTTCGCAGAAAGACAAAAGGCGTCGGCCTATTGTCCGTATTGACGCTCGAATCTGAATCAATCGGTAGCTACCGATAACGCTCAGGTGTATACAACTGCAGTAACGTGGGGGTTGAATCGCCACGACTTGAATGATCCTGATTTTTTGTCAATGTTGCCTAGGAACAAATATGGCTGCAAAAATCAATATTTAAAATTACAAGTAAAAATATGTTATGTATATCTGAACAATAATGAAAGAACTGACGTAAAATCGTTATGGTATAATACACATACAATCCTGCAGTAATTTGAAAAGTGAAAGGATGGATGAAACCCTATTGTTCTCCTGCGATAGCGAAATAAATTAAGATAGCGATATTTTTCACGACTTTGGCTCAATATTTTAAGTCTCCGTTCATAAGTTCTAAGTTCTAATATCTAAGTTAATTATAATTCTATTGGATTTCGTGGTCCGATTGACCAAATAAATTGTTTTCAATTAATTAATCTTTAATCGAGGTTTTGGTGATCGGTGCCATTTTTCAAATTTCGTGTAATCTATTTGATTCTCGGCGACAAATGGGAAAAAGGAGGGAAAATTCGATATGTTGTGGTTGAGATGGGGAGTTGGTGTTCGTGTGGATCGAAGTCACGATAGCTCAAGTGGTAGAGCAGCGGCGTATTTAGCTGATGATCGTGGGTTCGAATCCCGCACGTGACACTTACAATTAAAGGTTAATTAATTGAAAAGTTAATTATAAAGTTTAAGAAATTCTTTTAATAAAAATATATGGACTACTACAAAGATCACAGATAGCTGCTATTTGAAAAGGGGGAAAGAATTTGATGTATTAAAATTATACTTTTTTCATACTTCCAAAAATATAAAATTGCTAGATCAGCTTTACAATTTGAAATTTACGTCAAAGTGTTAAATTATAGCAAGTTTGAAAAAATTGCTATTACCACAAGCCATCTTTTTTTTCAAATTTAACTATTTCAATTTGTTAATCATAACCATGCACACATATCTCATGTACGTATCAATTGATTGATTTGTATAAGATACTGATAAATGTACTTACATAATTGAATTGAGCTTATATCGTGATATCACACTTTATGAATCACCCAGTTGCGTGAATTCCCGTCCAGGACCTTGATCTTATTCATTCCGCTATGCAAGTTATGCCCAATAGTTGTCAATTGCTAGGTCATTTCAGCCCAAACGCATCAGATTTTAAACCTAGGCACATTCACATTTTTATTCATTCTTGAAGGTAGATGGGACACTCAGTATTACACCTTCGGCCTCACTTTAAACAAACACGCTAATAAATACATTAAATCTCGATGTATGGTATGGTGATAAGCATACTAGGAAGTGGGGTTTGTACTCCCCAGGCACTGCAGACTTTTGGCTTATTGTACCTTCCTTGTTCCTTAGTTCAGTGCAATAGACTCAATCCTTCTCCTTAGAAGTATCAGGTCATTGACTGTCGCTGCTACAATTTCATTCCCTAAGTTTTTTCGTATTTTAGTTTGAATCTCCATTGAGCTGTTGCTTCGCAGTAGAAGATGATATGGGTGGCTGCTTTCTCCTCCTCATTCTATAATCTGGAGATGGGATCTGGGTTGTATATGCCCATGTTGTTTAGATGTTTTCTCACATGCCTGTGACCGATTAGTAGTCCTATCACTTTTCTGAGTTTAGCCCTCTCCAGTTGCAGCAGTGATTTTGCCAGTCTTGATGAGGGTTGTTTCATTATAAGTTTGCTGAATCTAGCATCGCTAGAGTTTCTCCATTTCACCTTTTGTTAAATCTCAATGTAGGCACAGGATATCTACCAATTACTATATACAATAAACAATGAAAAAAAACAAAGATGCAAAATCTCGCACAATTTTCATGACGGGTTTCATTACTATTCGTTCAATATATGGAAGGAACGCCTACCTTTTCGTTTCCTTACAAACCTATATACAGGGTGTCCCAGTTCCTTCTGTCGAAACTCAGGGAATCGATTCTACTCTGTTTGGAGCAAAAAAACCCCAGGAGAAAATTTTCGGAAATTTCTCTATTTTGAAGGTATTCGTCAATTTAGGTTTTTTCAACTTTTCACGACCTTACCACATAAAAACGCTTACAACTTCCAAAATGTTGAGACTACAACAAATCCAATTACACCATTTGACAGAACGCTAAATTTGCTGTAAGATACTTCTATTTGCAATAATCTAAATGACATAAAATGTTAGCCAATATCAGTTGGAACATGTCAAAATTATAAAATTTAAAATTTTGGTCATGATTGCACGTTGTACTTAGTTTACATAAAAATACCATGACAACTTGTCAAATTTCACAAAAACTTTTTCACCTAATATGCTTTACGTTGATATATCCAGGTTTTTAAATAACGTTCTAGTAGTGTTGAAAAATAACAATTGAATGTTCGAAAACGTGGGTAGAAATAAATCAATTAGAACTCGCTTTGTAAAATAATATTAATATCATAATCTTTCAATAACACACCTTACCTGATACATTCTGTGGATTATTGTTTAAACTTCGATCCCATCCAGGATTTGAAAATTCAACCGGTCAAACAAGTATGATTTTTATTTTACAAAGCGAGTTCTAATTGATTTATTTCTACCCCCCCATCCAAATTTACCTTAGCTCATGTTTTCGAACATTCAATTGTTATTTTTGAACTCTACTAGAACGTTATTTAACAACCTGGATATATCAACGTAAAGCATATTAGATGAAAAATTTTTTGTGAAATTTGACAAGTTGTAGGTATTTTTTGTAACCTCAGTACAACGTGCAAAATTTTAAATTTTGTAATTTTGACATGTTCCAATTGATATTGGCTAAGTTTATCTGATATTTTATATCATTCAGATATAAGTACCTTACAACAAATTTAGTGTTCTTTCAAATGGTGTAATTGGATTTTTTGTAGTCTCAATATTTTAGAAGTTGTAAGCGTTTTTATGTGGTAAGGTAGTGAAAAGTTGAAAAAACCTAAATTGACGAATATCTTCAAAACAGAGAACTTTCCGAAAATTTTCTCGTGGGCATTTTTTGCTCCAAATGAAGAGTAGAATCGATTCCCTGAGTTTCGTCAGAAGGAACTGGGACACCGTGTATACGGCTCCAGGTTCAAAATATTTATTTTTTCATAGACGCTACAGTTCATGTTACCTCTCCAACATGAACCCAACGAGAGTCCACAGAGGACCAATGGGTACGTGTTGTTTGAGCAGTCCTATTTTAGAGAATAATATTTATTATGAACTTTTCCCATTTTGCAACCTAAGTGGAAGACTTAAAGAGATTAGAATTAGACTTTTCATGTATGGTTAGGATTGTTTTCATACAAGAGTAAAAAAGAGATATCATAACTAGATAATACGTTTCTGATTGGAATCCAATAATTTAATTTGGCCGTGGTTATTTAATACTCAATACATGTTGTATGTATCATTGTGGATTTTTGTGGTTATATTGTTTATTTACCACTTGTAGAGGGGTAGAATAAAAGGTGACTGAATATGAACCCTTAGGAGACACCGAACAAATGTTGCTCTCATGGGACGGGCTAGGTTATATATCCATTATTCAAAGTTTTTCCGAGAAGCTGATAATATATGTGAGACCAAAACACGAGTTTTTGGTTTTTAATATTAAAACGGAACTACTCAATTAAAGAGTCATGTTTAATTTAATAATTAAGGCTTATAATTTTATGTGATTAATGACATAAAGGTTTTATTGAAGTCTTTCGTCAGATTTGTAAGTCAGATTGTGCATGCTTTATCAATCAGCACATAGTTGCAAAGTGGAAGAAAAAAAGTTGTCAGTTCTAGGACAATCACTGTTGATACTTTCTAGTAAATGATTTCTACGACCTGCAGAAACTCCGTTCACGAATTGTTGCCGTGGAAGGTCGTAGATCGATCTAAAGTCTGTAAACTTCTGAAAACCCGTAATGGGATTGTTTCAGAAGAATAGTCAAAAGCGATTACTCGTGGATCTGTAAACAAACAATTTTTAGTACACGTGTTTACCCAACTTTTTCTTTTGTCTGACAAGATCTATTGGCCTGTAATCTTCGTGGCTTTGGTAAACAATCGTGATGCATAAATTAAAACTTGCCTACATGCAGTTCTGACGAATTAATACGCATCGGTACATTGAAAATAGAATTATTGCGGAAGAAGGACTTTTCATCGATTAAACAAAACGTCGTGACCTCGCATCTTGCTATTGCTACTTTTGTGTGGTGATTAGTGACCGTTAATCGATATTTATTTTCGTGTATGGGCTGCAGGAAAAAATCGAGTGATAAAGAAAGCTAAATTTACATAAAGTTTAAAATTTATTGAAAAATACTTCCTTTATATATTTTAAACCTTAAGTACATCTTATCTAAGTCAGTTCGTTTGTAGGTTGCACAGGGAATAGGATTTAAAATTAAATTTTTAATGATTCTATTATCTAGCCGTCCTTATTATACATTTTTCAGTTAACTTATTTTGCTTGTTTTTGCCTTAAGACACCGACTAATTCGTTTGCTAGCAAATCTCAGACCTTTTTTTATATCAAAGGAAAAATCATGAAGTTGGCTATTTTCAATTAATGCTCAGTTTTCTCGCGTTCGTTGTACTTTCGCAACTCTGCGCCTTTCCTTAAATATCTCACAGAAATTGCCATACTTCTAGAATATTAATATACAGAGTAAATTAAGAATATTACATATTTATTTATAAAACTTTTTTTCTTTAAAGAAACATTGTAGAAAGGAACTTAAATGAATTATGCAAAAAATAAAAAATCGGACACTTGTATTTATTAGTTTATTTTCTTGAATAAGTAGGTAAATAAAACGTTAATAACTTGTTGTTTATGTGTGGTGTTTAGTGGCCGTTAGCCAATGATTATTTGGAGATTGTGAGGTGCGGTCTGGTGTGACGTAGGTTTTAGAAAAACATTTTCTTCACCGTGCTAACGTTTCGATCTTTATTGAGATCATCTTCAGGGCTCAAAGTGTTTGTTTTCTGTGTAGATGTGTCATTCTTGTGTGACGTGTTGTGTGTGCTCTTTTGTGGTGATTTCTATGTTTAAAATGTTCCTTTTGAAATGTATTGTGGCTTTATGTATGTTGTTAATTATGGTGTTTGGTTGTTTGTGGTGATTTCTATGTTTAAAACACTGGGGGCATTCACAACTCGACACGCAAGAATGGCACAATTACACAGAGACAAACACTTTGAGCCCTGAAGATGATCTCAATAAAGATCGAAACTTTGGCATGATAAAGAAAATGTTTTTCTAAAACCTTGTTGTTTATGTTTATAGTGTTACTAATCCTTTTACACTCTTTAGATGAAAAATAAAGAAAACCAGTT